TAGGATATGTTTCCATCTCAGAAACTTAAGGGATATTCATATATAGTATTACGATTGGAAAAGTATTCTTTGTATTTGATGGGATTCTATACTTTGGACAACATATTTATTGATTATGAATCCTATTACTAGATAGACGTTAGAGAGGTATCTGTATAAGTAATTACAACTCAGTTATAGCCATATGTTATATTAGCAATTAATTAGAAATTGAAATAGATTTCTTCTATTTTAAATATGATTTGTGGATGACAAGAGAGAGAAGATATTGCCATTTCTATACCCTTCAAGTGTATGCTACTATTCTCATTTATGAAACTCTATCAAATAGAATCAATCATTAATTCTGTCTAAAATTTAGTGCCTTCATCACTATTAGAATCCATTTTGTTAAACAAGCAATTAAATTGATTCTAAAATGCATATTGAATGAAAAATTGAATTTTAAATCTTCATATCTGATTACGGATTCAAAAATATTGTTTAGAAACTATTAAAACTGTATTAACGACAATATTTTTCAAATAAACTTGTACCCATTCAGAAATATGGTTTCGATCAATTAGCTGAATTTTTCACTTAATTATTTTTTATCTTTTTATTCTAAATCTAACTAGATATTGTAAACTCACAGCTAAATTTATATATAGATTCTTTTGTTTCAGAAACCTTAAGAATATATTAGAATCTTTCATGTTATGCACAATTGGTGAGATTCAAATCAAATCACTTAGCGCAATTCCTTATCACGTACCTAAAAAATATAAGCTATTTACAGTATCAAAATTTGAAAGTGACTTCAGTATCATGTTATGTAACTTTAGAAAATCCTTCTTAAGTCTTTTGATCAATAACACTATCGACAACGATAAACCAAAATCAATGTATAGGAGAAAATTATTTATTGACAAGGAAAATAATTTTTGATGAATTTTATATAAAATATACTCAATTATATTCTAGTCATGGTATTCTATCATAAGATTAAATAATTTAATCATAATTGTTCCTTCTTTTTAACTTTGGTGTTAAATCTCAAATTCTAACTAATCCATCCCCTACTTGCATTTACTAAGTACTCCATCATTCATAAATTCTCTAATCCTTATAAAAGGACTAGAGTTGTTAAAGTTGATGCCTTCTCTACTTTTATTCATTTTTTCTATCATAATTTAGATGGCTCTAAATAATAATAATCTTTTAGATGAAGTGCATTTAGGTTAGCTAATCCTTATTTAGGTTTTCTATCAGTTACATATTCTTCTATAATATTTAACTTTTTCTCATAAATCCACATTCAAATTCATTGTTATGTTGAGATTAATATTTGTGATTGCCCCTAATCTCTAATCTAATACAATATAAGTTTTCATTAACCTTATTGAATACTATGGATTTGGTTAAAGAATTGTTAGTTTATATTTTAATCAGATGCAATTACAGCAAACATTTAATTTCATAATTAATTTTTAATAGGAGAACATAAGACTGTAATTAATGGTGCGATAGCTTTTGTTCTTTGTTACAATTTTTATCTATTTAGCTTAAACTATTTATCATACAAATTCTTTCGATGGTAATTCAATAAAATCAGAAAATGGAAAACCTAATCGAAACACCATTTTTTAAATGGATAGTTTTAATTAAATATTTCTGTAATTGAAATACATAATTACTTTTAGTAGTTATAAACCTAAACAATTACTTTTGGCTTTTATTCATATTAAAATCAAATATACAGATGTACACATGGATACAAATCTTAGGATGTATCAATGGTGAGAGTCTAAAAAGAATAAATTGGAGTTGATACAAATGATTCATTTGTGGATTACTTTGTCCATTTCACATACTTCTTTTCTATATCCACTTCTACAATTATGATATCATTTGTTGAAAATGCAAATGCTATTTACTTAGCATTTTTATCCTATTAATCATGATTATAACAATAACCTTAACAATGACTATTATATGTTCTATATTAAACTATTAATATCATAATACATACCCTCCACCGAGAGAATAACAATCAGTATAATTCTTACTCTACACAATATCCTTAAAACCAATTCCTATCATAATATAAGACATTTCAATAATTTTAAAAGCAAATTAGATCACTCCATTCTTAGGAATCATTTAATCACACATACAGCATTACCATCCACCAGAAACAGATTCAATAAGTTTTGCATTTTAGGTTACTGAACAATTATTATGCTTATAAGTTGTTGAGAATGTCAGTTATTTTGAGAATAATTAAAGCTACTTGTAATAAAGATACTAATTATACCACAGTTTGCTATAACTATTAAACAATTTGTTCATTCTTTTAAATTGATTTTTAACATCTTTCTAAATCTCCTTCCTTTTCTTAAAGTTTAATTTCGAATTATTTTTCTATAAGTAATTGAATATAATTTATATTTACCTTATAACTCATATTCTTTTAATTTAATTGACAATTATTCCTTTTAATTCTTTAGATCTGTAATAATTATAATTTATTCTTCATCATGTTTCTTAAAATCAATTATCATTTATTGATTCAACTAAATAATATTTTCATTTTATTTAATTTGATCAAATAAGTATTCTTTATCTTGTTTATTTTAATGTAGTTCAGCTTAAATTTTATCAAATTAAGTTAGTTTTATAATTAAAGAACAATCTTAATCTAATTATGATACAAATTGATTAAACTAATAAAGATTAATAAAATAGTACTTGCTATAATTAAACATCTTTAAATTCAGTTGATAAATTATTTATTGTTAACATGATTTATTCATATTAATGTTAAGCATCTTTTATGATATCCTAATAAATCTTAAGATGTTGCACTTATAATTTAAGTTACTTAATTGATTGTTGATTTTAAATGTGATTCTCTTCTTGTACACTTTCATTTAAACTTTACTCCTTTATTATCATATTAATCTTATTAGTGGATAATAAATCATTTTATAATAGTTTTCCTAAATTATTTTAAATCATTTCAAATTAATTTAGATCTTCTTTCTGTATATTAAATTACTTTTCAAACAAAGCTTGGAATTTATCAGTTTAACTTAATATTTCTGTCAATTCATTAATTTAGTCAATATTCATTTAATAAATCATGTTTTCATTAAACTACTCATTATTATCATTTTGAGAGAACATAGAATATTAAATATTAACTTTATTGATTATTTCTGAAATTGTAGAATTATATTTTTGTTTAATTTCCTCAAGAATTTGAATGATTTAAATTTATTTTGAACATCTTTAATTCTAAAATTACTTAACTTAATCACTTGTTTATCCTAAATATTCATTCCATTTATAATTAGCATCATTTATAGTTGTGTATTTAATTGGATCATTTGATTAGATACACTCTACACAAGCTAATCTTGATAATTTAGTTTTATCAGAATTCAAATTAAACATGATAATTTCTTTTCCATGTTTATTACATTAGATATTCAAACTTGGTGTTTTCTAATTTTATTTATAAGGTAATAATTACTTATGTGTTTTCATCCTTTTTAGAATTTAATTATAATTATTTAATTTCTGAATGTTCATCTTCCACTTTAGTTTTTTCTAAGGTTTGATTAATTTAAATAAGAATTGGACATTTAATTATGAATTACAATTACTATTAGATTGAATCAACATAAGAATTGTCATCTATAGATTTATCCAATTATTTAGGTAATTCAAAACTGAATGATCCTTTGTAATTCTTTGATAAAAGTGTTACATCTTCTTCAAAAGAAGACACTTAGATTTTTGATTCTGATTACTCTAATTCATTTTCCATTTAAGTTATTTTCTAATCTATATTACATTAAACTTTGTCTAAAGTATTATTAATAGACATTTTCAATTCTTTCACTTAGGATTGAATTTCCCTATAATTCTCAATCTTTCTTTAATATTCTTTGAGTTTATAACTCAATTGTTCATTTTTCATTTGTTTAATCATTGTTTTAGTCTCTTCAACCAAAGCCATATTTTATATATCAATCTTCTCCATTAGACACTTGATACAAAGGTATTTATCCTCTTCAGCAGTTGATTACTTTAAATCTATTGTCAAAATTTCTAATTTATGTCTAGAACACATTTTCTTATCTAATTCAGATAACATTATTACTATTTATTTCTTTTAAGATTTTTAATAATAATTGCAAAAATTATTTATTTGTTTAATAAATATATTCCAAAGTTAGGAATAGAATTTAATATATAATAATTAATTGTACTGGAGATTTATGGTTTAGGATCATGTAAATATTTTGCATTTAGAATTAATTCAATTTCAATATCAAAAAAAGGTGAAGTAGATAGCTTTGAGATACTCATCGTTTTATTACTATTTCGCTGTAGCAAATTGAAATTATAATCAAGAAACAACGATTATAAAAATAGAATGATTCTTTTGACAATAGAGCAACTGCTTTTATGGGTTTTAATTTTATACTTCTAACACTACTAATAATAATTCAAATTCAAAGCTTGAAGTAACAATAAACAATAAAGTAATTTAAAAATTAGGATGATTAATGTAAACTCTGCTATCACTTCCATAAATATTTAATATCAACTTGAAATATTCTATTAGTTTATATAAAGGTGGAATAACAAAGAATTATTGTATCTGTAGTAAATAGTTATCCATTACTCTTCAATTAAACTAAAGTGATACTAAGATTAATGCAATTTATAGCGTTATCTTCGTATTGAGCACTTGTACTAAAAATTAATGCCATTCAAATTCTTTTTAATGCCTTTTACATTTTCTCTGAAAATGTAGACTTAAATTATTACAATTCTGATGTATCTACAAAAAAACTTTAATTCCAAGTTTGAATTTGGTAATCTAATTTATTTGTTATCTTCACTAACATGTTGTTTTTTTTTCTTAAACAATTAAGTTCCCTCATAAAAGCATTTCTAAATAAACCGCAAAATCAAATACTTAACATATACTCTGTTATTAAATATTTAAACATTTTTATTCATTTTAACATGGAAGTTGTAGTTCACTATTTACTTATTAAGCAAGGATTAGTTTGGAAGTTAATTTGATACCTGTTCGATTTAACTTAAGAGTAGGACAGAGGATTAATGTTAAAGGTGAAAATGTAGACTGAGATTTTTCTGATTACAAAATGAGAGCGAATATATTACTTTCAATTATGAAGATATTCATCCTACTAATGAAACTGTGCTAAATTCATTATTATTATTATAAGAATAATTATGAGAATGAAAAAGGAACTAAATTGAAGACTACAAAATGTGTATAAATAGTAAATTAAAGAAGATGTTGCAGAACGCTTTCAAATGGTCTACTTAAACATGGTTAAATATACACAACAACTTAAAGATAAAACTAAGAAAAATAATAGTATAAGTTATCAAAATCTAGTCGAACATAGCTTTAACAGGAAAAATTTGCATCGAACTAGAGAGCGTGTAAATTGGTCATTAAGTGAAGGGATAAAAAAGTTAGCCAAATTTCGACAAAGACTTCTACAACGATAGCAGTCTAAATAAATAAATACAGCTCTTGCTCTCATATTATCAGCGACCATCTTGATTTGATTTTTGCTCCGCCGTATACTTAAGAACTTTTGGTGACCGCGGTTTCTAAAAATTATTCTTTCATTGGCTTGATATTCCTATTTCACTTAAAAATTCAAAAATATCTTTGCAGATTCTAAAGTTAGTTTTCCCTTTGTATTTTACCTCCTAAAACCTCTACAAGGTCTTGAGATTTTAGTTATAATGAAATTTATTCTTAGTTTTTAGATTATAGAGGGTTTAATAGAGCAATTAATTTCGCAAATATAGCTTCCTACACCATAAGTACTATTCCTTTAATATTTAACTTTATACCATATGTTTCATTATATAGGATAAGGATTAATTTGTGCCTTATGGAGCGTTTAATTTAAGACTGTGCATTTTGTTTATGAAACTTTCTTTTCTTCTCGATTATTTTTAAATAATAATTTCTCTCTTTCTTATTTTATCAGTGTCTTGTTTCGTGAATGCATTAATTATGGTTTTATGTCTGCTAATCATTCTAATCTAAAAGGGTTTATTAAGTAATTTTGTTTGGCTAATCTTATTTAAAACCAGTGGAGTAGATTAAAAGTTTATTAATTTTTATTTTAGCTTATGTTTACAAGGGCATACGATATCCTGATCACATTGTCACTTATTACTCGATCAGTTTTATGCCTCTTTAAGGTAAATCTAAAAACTATTTTTTTTAGTTTTTCTTATAGTGAGCTCAGATACTTCTAAAAATATATTTTCCACTTCTTTGTTTTGGTTTTCGCTGTAAAAATCAAACTTTGCCTTAAATTATGTGCACTTTAAATTACCACTTTTAATCTTAATTTCATATAACCTAAATTTACATAATTAGAACATTAATTAAATGAAATGAAATACAATGATAACCAAAAGAGCCCACTAACTATAATTCATTAAAATGTTAGAATTTCATTAAAAAATAAATTTACTCTTACCTCACATGAAATAAATTCTATAAAATATTCAAAAACATATCTCTTCAACAAAATATCGTAATTAATAAATAAAATTATAAAAATAAAAAATATGAATTGGTACAGTTTCAATATCATTATAAAAAATCTTTTGCAGTACTTCCTTATTCTCATCATAATTATGATATCGTGTAAAATTGTAGATATTCAGATTACATTTTGGCTTTCAATCAGTAAATATTAATTTATTTTATTCATGAATCATTAATAAAAACTAATCACTTGAACACATGTTTTATATAAGGACATTTAATTAGAACTTTTGATTCTTAAACTTAAGTTAGATTTCTGAAGTAATAGGTGAATATATTTAATAAAACTATCTGAAGTACAATTCTTATTAAAATTTTTTGCACTTTAATTAAAAAGATGCAAAGTAAATAATATTAATAATATAACATTAATCGAGCTCGAAGCAAAAACTTCTGGTTTCAAATACCAATCCTATACTATATTTCGATTAGTTTTTAAACTTAAAGCATAATTTTTCATAATAGGACTCAAATCTGATTTAATCTGACTTCTTAACGTTGACCCCAAATCCAAACTCCCCAGAATTAGTTAAAAATTATATTATTATCCAGCCAACGTAATTTTTAAAGTGATTAAGGCAACATTATTAGCGTAACAAAACATGAAGTAGTTTTCAAGAGTAATTGAACATTCTAATCTTTCACCATCAATTCGCAACAATCTTGATTAGTTTTAACGATTTAATTTCTCTATCACTTTATCAAAATAAATGCCAAACAGAAGCAAAGCAAAGAGCCTTAATGTACCATTTTGAAAATAAATCCTTTTCTTTATGATCAAAAATGTGTAATTGCTAATACATCAATTCAACTTCATATAATTCTTCTTCAGAAAGATACCTTTATACTTTTCTTCCTTCTTGAGGAGTTTAAAACTATCTTACCTTATAACTATATCGTAATAGGTCCATGAAGTTGAATATTTTGCTATTTTTATCTCAATATGTTAGTGAGAAAGTTTGTGATTAGGTATTTTCATAAATCTAGGTATAAAGAAAGCTTTAATAGTTCAGCATGAATATTACCAAAAAACTCATACTGAAAGCAAATTGAAGATTATGCAATTCATTAAAATGTATCCTCAAAACTTAATTCTGATTCAACGTTTTTAGGTTCAACCAAATCATAAGGGATAGCCTTTTTATTCTTTGCTCAGTGACTAACTTAATCCTCCTTGAAACATATCATATTCTTAGGAGCATCCTTACGTGTATAATCATTCTATCTTCCTCGCATCCGATTCATAATGGGAGAATGTTTTTGCTTAAAAGTGACACATTCATGATTGAAACTATCATTTATAGGTTTGCTTGAGTGCAACAATATATCATAAAATTATTTTGAAAACTTTAGAGAAATGTAATGCTTTAGAAGCAGGAGTAGAATAAGTAGCTGTGGGATGGTTAATTCAAGGTATGTATGGATAATTTATTATTTTTATTATTGACCTTTGGAAAGGTCATTTCTGCCGTATCAAATAATAAATATAGAGGTTTTTAGTCTGAGAATCAATGGACTTTCTTTTTATTCCATATTTCAATTTATGTTATTGTGAACCATTACACGGTAGATTTACATGTTTTAGTTCCTGTCTTATAGCAAGCTAATTATTTAAGTCATGTGTTAATTAAAATTGATAACTCTACTAACGGTGGAAGAAACAATTCTCAAGCCGTATTCCAATCAGTCTTGATTGTTGTATTAAAGTGAATATTTTAAAGAAGACTTTGAGATTATGAGTATTTCGGATTGTAGACTTGGTTTCCTGACAGCACGAATGTTCTTATAAATTTGGATCTTAATTTGGTTACCCTATCTTTCTTTACTAAAGCATAAAGGATTATTTTCTTACCAAAGGCCTCTTTTCTAAAAATTAAAATAAGAACAATACTATATTAAATAATATCTGAGAAATGATGATTATTGCTATACTACTTTTGAAATCTCTTTTTGCTTTAAGAGTCAAAATATAAACGAAATTCTTTATATTATAAGGAGAACATTAGTAGTAGGCAAACATACCAAATAAACTTAAACTGTTTAAATAGATCAGAAATAAAATAATTACAGATTCTTTTTTTTGTGATAAATACCAAATATTTTGATTCCATTTAACCTCAATGATGTAATTAGGGAAGTGATCCAAAAAGAATATCATTATGATCTAATCCAATTTGAATTTAAATATAGTATGCAGCAAATGAAATTAATTCAAATTAATTTTGAAATTCATTATAAAATCGTGATCTCCATTAATAGGAATTGATTTAATATATTTTCAAAATTTCCTTCCTCTCAACAATTATAAATTACATTTTATAATAACCCACTGTTTTTTCCAAAAATTCTATNAGTTTGTGATTAGGTATTTTCATAAATCTAGGTATAAAGAAAGCTTTAATAGTTCAGCATGAATATTACCAAAAAACTCATACTGAAAGCAAATTGAAGATTATGCAATTCATTAAAATGTATCCTCAAAACTTAATTCTGATTCAACGTTTTTCGGTTCAACCAAATCATAAGGGATAGCCTTTTTATTCTTTGCTCAGTGACTAACTTAATCCTCCTTGAAACATATCATATTCTTAGGAGCATCCTTACGTGTATAATCATTCTATCTTCCTCGCATCCGATTCATAATGGGAGAATGTTTTTGCTTAAAAGTGACACATTCATGATTGAAACTATCATTTATAGGTTTGCTTGAGTGCAACAATATATCATAAAATTATTTTGAAAACTTTAGAGAAATGTAATGCTTTAGAAGCAGGAGTAGAATAAGTAGCTGTGGGATGGTTAATTCAAGGTATGTATGGATAATTTATTATTTTTATTATTGACCTTTGGAAAGGTCATTTCTGCCGTATCAAATAATAAATATAGAGGTTTTTAGTCTGAGAATCAATGGACTTTCTTTTTATTCCATATTTCAATTTATGTTATTGTGAACCATTACACGGTAGATTTACATGTTTTAGTTCCTGTCTTATAGCAAGCTAATTATTTAAGTCATGTGTTAATTAAAATTGATAACTCTACTAACGGTGGAAGAAACAATTCTCAAGCCGTATTCCAATCAGTCTTGATTGTTGTATTAAAGTGAATATTTTAAAGAAGACTTTGAGATTATGAGTATTTCGGATTGTAGACTTGGTTTCCTGACAGCACGAATGTTCTTATAAATTTGGATCTTAATTTGGTTACCCTATCTTTCTTTACTAAAGCATAAAGGATTATTTTCTTACCAAAGGCCTCTTTTCTAAAAATTAAAATAAGAACAATACTATATTAAATAATATCTGAGAAATGATGATTATTGCTATACTACTTTTGAAATCTCTTTTTGCTTTAAGAGTCAAAATATAAACGAAATTCTTTATATTATAAGGAGAACATTAGTAGTAGGCAAACATACCAAATAAACTTAAACTGTTTAAATAGATCAGAAATAAAATAATTACAGATTCTTTTTTTTGTGATAAATACCAAATATTTTGATTCCATTTAACCTCAATGATGTAATTAGGGAAGTGATCCAAAAAGAATATCATTATGATCTAATCCAATTTGAATTTAAATATAGTATGCAGCAAATGAAATTAATTCAAATTAATTTTGAAATTCATTATAAAATCGTGATCTCCATTAATAGGAATTGATTTAATATATTTTCAAAATTTCCTTCCTCTCAACAATTATAAATTACATTTTATAATAACCCACTGTTTTTTTCCAAAAATTCTATCCCTTATTTCAATGAATTTATACAATTTATTAGTTACTAGTGATAGTGTGTTTGATTAATTTGTAGAAAGAATGATCCATGTTTTATATAAAGACTATTTTTTTTAGTTCAGTTCATTTTTATTGAAATAATGATTAAGTATACCAAATGTTTTTCAACGCTCATGCTTTAAATTTTTCCTTATTAGAAATTATAGAGAAATCCTACATTGAATCATGAATTATTTTTCATTATTCTTTGTTTGCTTCCAAATATTAGGTACTTTTCCACAAAAATTTATTTTCAAACTCTTCGAATAATCTTTTGCTAAATTAAATTATATTTTAAATTAAATAGGAATATATTAAGTGCTCTATGATAATTACAAAGATTTCTTTCAGAGAGCTACGATTTCACGATTTTAGCCCCTATTTTACTCAACTTAGCAGTATAAATTTGAAACAATACTTTGGAATATATATATAATTTAAAAAATCTTAAAAGAAATAAATAGTAATAATGTTATCTGAATTAGATAAGAAAATGTGTTCTAGACATAAATTAGAAATTTTGACAATAGATTTAAAGTAATCAACTGCTGAAGAGGATAAATACCTTTGTATCAAGTGTCTAATGGAGAAGATTGATATATAAAATATGGCTTTGGTTGAAGAGACTAAAACAATGATTAAACAAATGAAAAATGAACAATTGAGTTATAAACTCAAAGAATATTAAAGAAAGATTGAGAATTATAGGGAAATTCAATCCTAAGTGAAAGAATTGAAAATGTCTATTAATAATACTTTAGACAAAGTTTAATGTAATATAGATTAGAAAATAACTTAAATGGAAAATGAATTAGAGTAATCAGAATCAAAAATCTAAGTGTCTTCTTTTGAAGAAGATGTAACACTTTTATCAAAGAATTACAAAGGATCATTTAGTTTTGAATTACCTAAATAATTGGATAAATCTATAGATGACAATTCTTATGTTGATTCAATCTAATAGTAATTGTAATTCATAATTAAATGTCCAATTCTTATTTAAATTAATCAAACCTTAGAAAAAACTAAAGTGGAAGATGAACATTCAGAAATTAAATAATTATAATTAAATTCTAAAAAGGATGAAAACACATAAGTAATTA